AAAATCCTCAAGCCTACAAGGAAGACCTGGTAGCGTAGTGGTTATGAATCGGATTGCGAACCACAAGGTCAGCAGTTCGAAACTACCAGCTGTTCTGTGGGAGAAAGATGAGGTTTTCTGCTCCTGTTAAGATTTACAGCCTCGGAAACCCTGTACAGGGTCGCTATGAGTCAGAACTGACTCCACCACAGCACATAACAACAAGGAAGTCCAATTAACATCACTGTTATTCAAATTCACACACCAACCACTAAAGCCAGTGATGATGAAATTGAAGAATTCTACCAGCTTCTTCAGAGTCCTGGTACAGTGCTGTGGACTAATGTGTCAGACTGCAAAGTCATTTGAACTGCAAAGTCGATGGTTCAAGCTCACAAGCTGCTCCTTGGAAACCCTATACTGGGTTGCTATGGGCCAGAATCGACTTGATGGCACTTAACAGCAATAACAACCAGCTTCTTCTGTCTGAAATGGATCAAACATGCAATAAAGATGTATTGATAATTATTGGTGATTGGAATGCAAAGATTAGAAACAAAAAGGAAGGCAGCATCAGTAATTGGAAAATATGGCCTTGGTGACAGAAACAATGAAGGTGAACGCATGACAGAATTTTGCAAAACCAATGACTTATTCATTACAAGCACCTCTTTTAAAACAACATAAAAGACCTCAGCAGATGGCATATACAGAAATCAAGTTGATTATATCTGTGGGAAGAGATGGTGGAAAAGCTCCATATCATCAGCCAAAACAAGGCCAGGGGCAGACTGTGGAATAGACCATCAATTGTTAATACGCAAGGCTGAAGCTGAAAAAAACTAAAACATTTCATGAGAGCCAAAATATGAGCTTGAACGTATCCCACTGGAATTTATAGATCATCTTAAGAACAGATTTGATTGATTAGACACATACCTAAGATACATAAGCAGTTTTGGAATTGTATAATGAGCAAAAGCTGGAAGAGTACTAAGATGCCCAATGGTAAAAGCCTAGATTTGCTACAAAAGGCCGGAAGTGTGGATGGTGTGAAGCTATCTGCTTGTCTGCAGCAATGCACTGAACACCTTCATACATGCAGCATTTCCTCACACTCTGGATTTTCTACCTGACTTCAAAGTTGCTGTGGAAATGAGGAACTCTGGTTGACTGTTCAGACAGACACATGTGTCCAACACACAATGCCAATCTCACTCTGTGGGGCGGCAGTTCTGAGTCTATCTGCTCTGGCATAGATCACTTTGCTGTTTTTGTGCTATTGATGACCCAATAAAATATCAATTCCAGAGCAATTTGTTGTAGACAGAACCCTGATATGATTTCAACTAGCATCTGTTAAAAAAACAGGTTTGATATACTAGTTCACTTTTTCTAAATGCATAGTCATTAAAACATTGTTTACTGTTTCCACTGGCTCACGTCACCCTGCCTTGTCAGTGTGCCCATGAAGCCTGAGTTATCTTTCAAAAACGCAAGTCAGCCCCTGTCATTGCCCTGCTGCGACCGCCCCTGGTTCAATAGTGCCTTCACCCTGTGCCAGGTTCCTTGACCCTGCCTGTATTTATCCTTTAAGAGCACAGCCAGGTGCTACTCTAAGCCCTTTACAAATAAATACCAGCTCACCTGTTGCTCCTAACAAGCTAGAAGGAAGGTACTATTATAATCATCGTTTTACCAAAAGGCAAACTGGGTGGCAATCAGGTAGGAAGAAACAAGCCGGAGAGAACAAACAAGATGATGGATTGGGTGGAAATGCAGTAAGGAGCTCCATCAATAACAACACAGAATGCAGGACCAAGCAGTCTCAAGGGATGGTCCCAGAATTCTGAACCACATATAAAGGAATATTTATAAGGTTGGAAGGCTTACAGCTAGGGGAATTTGTAGCAGAAGCAAGAAATCCATTGCTTTCTAATTCAAGATGCTCAGCTACTCCAGGAGCCGCCATCTTGGGTGAGATCAAGCAGGGGAAGGATCAGAGCAGCCACAGACACCTGAAAGAACTATGGAGATACAGGTGTGTAAGTTCTTTTCTTTTGGTATCTGTTCATTGGTCTCTTGCTGTCTGTACACCTCCATTATGGTGACAATAGGGGTGTCTAAGCTAGTGGACACCCAAGCCCCAACCTTGGAGGGTTCTACTATGCATGTGCACAGATCTCCTCGAAATTTAAAGAGACAGTTTCCTCTTAAAATCAAATGGCCACAGCTGGCCCTGAACTGTTTATAAGTAGAAAAAAAGGCCTGAATGGGGATTGTGGAGCGGGACAAGCAGACTAAAAAAGAAATAGGCTGAAAATTAAATCCTAAGTTACGTCACAACAACCAACAGTGACATCTTGAAATTTCTCAAGAAGAGTGAAAAGGGAAGCCCATTTCGTGATACATCTACCTGGAGGCAATCAGAAAGCATAAAAAATACCAAAATACATATCCATAAGCATTAAGGCCACAGGTAATTCTTGAATATACCCAAAAAACAGAAGCAGATGATCATATCTGCACATGTCCAGAAACAAGATAAAGTGACTGAGGTAAATGAGCTGGAAGTAGACCTACACTCCATCCTGGAAGATGGGCAGGCTTTGGAAATGCCTGAGAAGGAATTCAGAAAAATGATTATAAAATGTATCAAAACACTATACAACGGAGTTGAGAAAAATAAGGAAGAAGTTAGGAAAGCTCTAGAGGAACAATCAAATAAGATAGATACAGCATTGGAAATAATTCAAAACCTACAGAAAGAGGTCCAAATGATTAATATTAGAATATCAGAAGTGGACAATACACTGAAAGGGCAAAGAAGCAGAATTCAAGAGATAGAAGCCAGAACTAGTGAGCTAGAAGATGAATCTCTCAACACCACTAATATAGAAGAGCAAACACAAAAAAGGATTTAAAAAAATCTGAAGAAGGCCTAAGATTCTTGTTGGACAACACGAAGAGGAATAACTTAAGAATTATTGGCATTCAGGAACAGGAACAGTTGAAGAGCTTCTGGAAGAAAACTTTCCTAACATCCTGAAAAGTGAAAAGATACGCATTCAAGAAGCTCAACGAACCCCAGGATGGATAGACCCTAAAAGGCAATCACCAAGACATAATAATCAAGCTCTCCAAAATCAAAGATAAGGACAGGATCTTGAAAGCAGAGGGGGAGTGGCTGAGAACTCTAGATTCATGGACTAAGAAGAGAGGGACCAAGAGCTGGTAGCCAGGAACCAGACTTGCAGAATGTGCCCTTTGGAGATGTAAATTATTATATATGCCTGAGTGGTATGTGTGTGTGTGTGTGTGTTTGTTTTTTTGTTTTAAAAAAGCTAAAGTGGATAGAGAGAAATACTGTTAACTGATGGTACATGGAGGGGATTATAGTCATTGTAATGAAACAACGTGTATGGTTTGTTGAATGTAAAATTGATGACATGCCCTGTAAACTTTCACTCAATCCACAATAAAAATCTTAAATAAATAAATAAACAAACAAACAAACAAACAAACAAACAAACAAACCTGCATGGCTGAAAACAACAGAAAAACAAAAACAAAAAAAGAAACAAGCCAAAGTGGGAGCTCCCACCTCTGCTTGAGGCCTGGGCTCAGAGCCTCGGGACCCCAGATCCCTATGTCTTATTTCTGGCTATGATAGGCTCCCAGACCAACCATGCACAAGCAGTACTCTCCACCTAGCAGGCCCCAGCCTGGTCTCCCTCAATACCTTATTCAGGGGTTGCCTCCGTGAGCCCGCCCTCACCTCTTCAACATCCCTCTCCTCAACTGCTAACTCACTGATTCCACCTGACCCTTTAGCACTTCCCCATGGGAGAAATGTGGAGAACAAGATGGCTGAAACACACTGGAGCACAGAAGGAACAGTCTGGAACATGGAAAGATGCCTCAGAGCATGGAAACACCATGCCGGAGCTAGCCAAGAGCAGAGAACCATTGCTTTCTAGCCCAGGGTGTATAGGCTACTTGGATGTCGCCATGTGGTTGGAAGGGAGAATGGAGTCCAGAGAGGACTGAAGAGAATTTAGGGGTGCTGGCTGCAATGGGCCTGAGGGTCCACGTAGTGGGGGTAAGGTGGAGGGCACCCTGAAAAAGCCACCAGTCTTCCCATAAGAACATCACAGCCCCTGGGAACAGCGTCTGTGGAGCACATGTGCTATACCTGGGATTCTTCAGGGGGAGGCTTTCTTTTCCCTGCCACCCCTCCTCTTGGCTTTGTCCAGGGGCCAAGCCTCAGTCCCTGCATCTGTAAACCAGACCTTATCTATGTACCACCACCATGAATGTGTTATATTCATGTGCTTCTGATTGGTGGCTAAGGATTGAAAGCCACTGGCTGGCTGTGCCTGGGTCCTTATCTCAGAGCTTGCGGTTGTTTGGTCAGCCCAGGGTAGAAGCTGTCCGCCCTGTGGTAAGCTGGCTGAACCAGCTTTCAGGGTATCCAACAAGGATGGGTTGCCCAGTCAGCCCCACAGCCAGAGGGCACCACTCCAACTGAACAGAATACCAGGTAACTTCTTGATGTTCAGCAGAGGTGTCAGTGAGAACAGCCCCCTCAGCCCCTGGCCGGGATATGGGAACCCCAAGGAAAGTTCAGCTCTCCGAGGTGAATTCAAGTTTTATTGCCACACACAGAGGCGCTCCTGCACCTTCTTGGCCTGCTTGGCCCAGGTGAGAAGCCAGGTCAGAGAAGCAAGCAGGCAGGCCAGGCCTGGTGGGACGAGGCAGTCAGCACCATCTGGCTCTGTGAGGGATACTGGGGGAGGGCAGTATTGGGTGCTGGGGTGCACTCATCCCAGGTTTCCCTGAGTGGTGCCCAGCCCCAGGCTTAGAGGCTGGTCAATCCTTTGGAGGAGGGCTTTACCCCCAGGTGACCCTTCCCAGGGTTCACAGCCAGGCGGGAGGTAGGAGCCTGCCAGGCCAGGCGCCCCCTGATGGGCCTAGGGCATTAGAGCTGGGCAGCACACAGGCCCACCCACAGCGCAGACTTAGCAGTCCAGGCCGATGGCCACGAGCAGGTCCTCCAGGGCCCGCAGCCGCTGCTGCGCCTCCTCAATGGCACTGTAGGTCTGCACTGTGCTGGCCACGTGGAAACGGATGTCGTCCACCAGGGGGATGGAGTCTGTCTCCTGCCGGGCTGCCACGGCTGCAGCCTCCTCTTTCACAGCCTGCGCAAAGTCCTCCCGCTCCACCAGCTACGGGACAGATGGGCTCAGGGTGTGCGAGGCCCCCCCACCCTCACCATCACCACCCTCCTGGGCCGCTGGCTCACCTTCTCGATGACCTTGGCCATGTACTCAGTGCACTGATCCTCAAGCCTGGCCAGGTGGAACAGCTTGGCCACACGCCACACGCCCACCACACTGTCCTCATCCAACAGCTGGGCCAGGCTGCGGCCACACAGCCGCTTCAGGCCCGGCAGCAGGTACATGTCAGCAACACACAGCACGTCATAGGCCGCCTCAGGAGGCAGCTGCAGGGGAAAGAGAAGGTGAGTGGGTATCCTCTGAAGGCCGGCCATGAGGTAGGGACCTGCTGGGGGAAGGCCTCCCCACTCATGTGCCTGTGCCCTGCCATCTTCCCACAGGACCCACCACCACAGAGGCAGAGTAGATGGGGGGCTCCCCAGGAGCCCGAGGTCCAGTCAGGATCCCTGGGGTGGGCGGGCAAGGGAAAGAGGCTGAGCTCTGAAATCACACAGACCCGGGTCCCAGTCCTGGCTCAGACACTTTCTAGCTGAGTGACCTTGGACAAGACACTTAGCATCTCCACGTCTATTTTCTCATCTGTGAGGTGCAGTTAACCATGCCCGCCTCAAAAGGCTGTGAGGAAAAGGAAACAGAAAGTGCTATTCAAAACCAAGACAGGACCCTGCCAAGGGTGAGGGTGGAGGTGACTATGGAGCCTACCCGATTCTGCTCAGAGACTGAGGGGCTTTACAGACACAGCTACAGTGGGACACTGCGTCAGGAAAAGCTCTGGATGGCTGTGGAGAGCAGCGGGGGGTGGCAGGACTGAGGTCATGGTATTGAAGGCTCATGCGCACCGTGTACACCGCACCAAGCACTTGACTTGGGGGGAGTGCATCTGATCTGCACAAGACCTTACAAGGGAGGGACTGCTGCCACCCCCACTCTCTAGAGGGGGAAACAGAGGTAGAAAGCAGTTCCGTAGCTTGTCAAGAACCACTCAGCTGGTGAGGCGCTATTGTGGGAGTCGAGCCAGGTTTGGAACCACAGCCACGTTGCTTTGTTTGGAACAAAGCAGGACACTCATTGCTTTTCCCAGGGTCCCTTGGGCAGCAAAGCTCCTTCAAGAGGGAGTCAGGCAAAGGCAGGTCCCAGGCGGCAGTGGTCAGAGAGCTCAGTGAAGGTGCCAGGAACTGAAGCCCTGTCTTGCCTTATGGAGGTGCAGCAGGTGTGGTTGCCCAACCAGAGACACCTTTCTTCCGACTAGAACGTGAGCAGAGGTGTGTACGACCCGTGTCCTACATGTGAGAGGAACCTGTGCATACTCTTCCTCTGCCTCCTCCAGCCACTGCCTGAGGCCAGGTCTCCAGATACAGAGGAGGACATGCCCAAAGCCACAGCCTCCATGTCCTCTTGTAAGTAAAGTTTCATTGGAACACATACCTATTCATTTCTGTGCTGTTTCTGGCTGCTTTTAACAACGAAATTGTGACAGAGTCCATATGGCCTCAAAGCCTCAAATACTGTCAATTGAAGCTTTATAGAAAGTTTGCTGTCCTCTGTCCCAAGACATAGCAGGACACTGATGGAGAAAACAGCTAGGTCCTCAGAAAATCAGCTGCCCTGTGGCACTCACCCCAAGACAAGGAGGAATAGCAAACTTCTCTCTTCTTTAAGTTGCTATATATTAAGATTTATTACTTAGCCTTCATACACACACACATATATCCTGGCAGAGCAAACCTCCAAACTACGGGTGCTGTCCATGTGGCCCTGCATGAGTGATGTTTTGGGCAGCTGAAGAAAGATGGGGTAACAGAAAAAGAACTGAGAGACCCCAGGGGTCCACAGCTGCCACTGTCTACTGCTGTGGGATAGGACCTGAAGCTTGCCAGTATTACAGTTCAGAGGTACTGCTCCCACCTGCCTTCCAGCTGGAGGACATGGAAACAGCAGGTAGCTGAGTGGGGAATACATCCAGGTCAAGTGCTAAAGCCGTGAACTCTGGAACCTGCCAAGGCTCCCTTTCCCTCAGAGAAAAATCAAAACCTCACCACAGAACCAACCAGGAGCAACTCTCAGACCCAAACAGGCCTTGGCACTACCATGAAACCCCATGTTTACCAAGCCCTGCACACACCCGTACCCCTGCCCCCCAGCCCGCACCTCAGTGTGGTCACTGTATATGTAGTAGAGCACATGGGTGAAGATGTCGGGGGTGATGTCATGCAGTGTGATGGCCGGCAGGCCCCCCGAAGCCTCAGGCTCCTCCTTCTCTCGGAAGTGATCATCCAGCAGAGCCCGGAAATAGTCGCTGCGGCCACAGAAGAAGGCCTGGGGGAGGCCACGCTCAGAAAGGGCCAGGACCAGGGTCAATGCCTGTCCCCTGGGGAATGGCCCAGGGCTTAGGGCTGAGGTAGAGGCAGAGGGGTAGGCTGAGCACCTTGTGGCAGAGGAAGCTGCAATCGGCCACATGGAAGCAGATGTCGGGGCAACTGTTGAAGCCATCCGGGTAGGGGAAGGGCAGTTGCCCAAGATCACCCTGGAGAGACAGGAAGAGGAGTCCCCATCAGAGAAGGTAGCTGCGGCAACAGTGGCCAGTCTCAAAAAAGGGAAGTGACCTGAGCAAGGTCACAATAGGAAACTGAACCCAACCGCATGGGGCTTGCCTAACACGTTCATCCCAGAGGCCCTGTCCCTGCGACCACAGGGCCAGTCACACTCAGTCCCACTCACGTGGAGCTCAGGGGGCAGGGCGCAGTTGGCCAGGAGCGCCAGGTCCTCCTGCAGGCGGGAGTCAGTGGGCAGTGGCTCAATGGTCAGGACCTTCACACAAGTGCCTGGCTTAGAGGCCACTGCAGAGGGGAGCATGCAGGGTCAATGGCCAGGCTACAGTGGTCGTTCCCCGCCCAGCCTGTACCCTATACCCTGACGCACCAAACTCGAACACCTTCTCACACTTGGCCTCAAGGTTGCTGAGCAGGTCCCACAGCTGGCACTGCTTGGCCAGGCGCTCACAGTCACTGACGTGTTCCACACCAACATCCAGGCGTCCTGGGGAGCAGAGGTGGGGTGGTCAGGACCTGAGCGGCCCTCAGCCTAGTGGAAGGGGTTTGGGGGCTACAGAGCAGGGACTCCAGGAATGATAGCTGCTCTGGTTTCCTGTCAAGAAGAGCCACAGATGTAAAAAGCTGAATTAGCACAAGCTGTTTGTTATATTTAAGATGACAAAACAAAAAAGGAATAGCTGCTGTTCATGTACAACCAGACACCTCATGGGATTTGTTCCTTGGTGTGGAAGGTGTGGAAGTTGAAGACCATGGTTTCATGGGGCACCCCAGTTAATTGACCTAATGTGTTTAGTGCTCTGTTCTAGCTCCCAGTTCCTTGCAGAGTGCCTAGGGTCTTAAAAGCTTGCCAAGGGCCATCAAAGGCCCAACACTTCATCTCTATTCACCCGGAGCAACAGAGGAAGAAGGAAAGGCAGGAATCAGATATGGACACAATGTGTATACCTAATGACCTCCATGAACAACTGCCTCCTTTATCATGAGACCAAAAGAACTGGATAGTGCCCAGCTACAATTACAGATCATTTTCATCAATTCGATCAAGGAATCCTGGTCATTTCAAAGTCTCAGGAACTCTAGACTTTCTGGAATCAAGGAGAGTATAAATGAACCTTTGAAACTACTGTCCGGAGATCATCTTTAAACCTTAAACCAAAAATACCCCCTGAAGTCTTCTTAAAATCCAACAATCGTTTAGCTTAACGAGTAAAAAAGGCCTGCCTTGAGCACTGAGCTCATTTTAAGATGATCTAGGGGATCAAAGTGACAGCAACAACTCCAGAGATGAGAGAGGAAAGTTAGGGGCAGTGAGTTTACGGACACAGGGAAGGCATAACTCAGAAGAGAGAGTGAGAATGGGCACACCCACAAAGAATGTAATCCATGCCACTTAATTATACATGCACAAACTGTTGAATTGGTAGATGTCTTGCACTGTGTATTCTCAATCACAAGAAAATAAATAAAAAGTAATTAGAAGAAAAAGAAGAGTCGCAGACTAAACTCTACAGGCCTAAGAGCTGATGAGAAGGCTGTTTGTGGGTGGGAGTTCTTTCTGAGTAGACTTGATACATCAGCCTGCTGCCTCCTAGCTTGAACAGGAGGTGACTGGAGCCTAGTACTGCCTCTTCACCACCAAGGTTATCCCTGGATCAGCTGTTGGCCAGCAATGCAGCTTTTATCACCCACCCACCCTGGGCCCAGGGAGTCACCTGTGTACAAGTACTGCAGCAGGGCCCCAAAGGCCACAGGGTTGATCTGTGGGCAGAGAAGACAGTGGAGTGGAAGTCAGAGGCAGCCACAAAGCATGAGACCTCCACCCATCCCTGGTAAGCCAGCCTACCCGCAGCCCCTGGAGGGACGCACCAGTGGGTGCCTAAGGACCACGACGCTTTTGCCCTTCCATTTGGTGTCCAGCATGTTGGCAAAATAGGTGCTGCGCGCCCCCAGGACACAGCGGTGTGCCCTGAATGGCTTCCCATGCACAACAAACACCACGTCACTGTGGCTGCCCTGCTCTAAAAGCCTGGAGAGAGACAGGAACGGGGGATGCTTCTGCAGACCTCCTGCCTCCCCAGTACACCCCAGGACAAAGGTGGCTGCATGGGGCCCCACGTGGGCCCCACCCAGCACCGACCCATGGCACTAAGCATGCCCACTCCTGCCTCACCGCTGTAGGAAGTCATCATAGTAGTCCCGTCTCCTGCAGGAAGCAGTGACCTGCTTGTAGTCTCGAAGCGCTCGTCGGATGGCATCACTTAGCGCCCCATAGAGGCAACGTTCTCCATCAAAGGTGTTGGCCTCACAGCGGGCTCCTGGGAGATGTGGGAGGTGGGGGGTGGAAGGTGGGCAGCAGAGCTCCCAGTCAGTAGGGCATCAGCTGCACGCTGAGGCTGGCAAAAGGCCTATGCAAGCCTGAGGAAAATCCGAACCCCCAGGCCCTCTTCCCCACCTCCAGTCACTCACATGGGGTCCATAAGTCCTGGAAATCTCTTCCCAAAATAACCTGGGCCCATTCTGACCCCAGCATCCTCCCTGCCAGGGCACAGGAATGCACTCAAATCCAAGTCCAATTCATTTATAACCATACCAAACCCAGAGCAGGCTCTGTCCTAGGCCCTGGGAACAACATGGGGCCCCACTCTCACCAAGCTCACAGTCCAGAGGGGACGATCAACAAGCTAACAAATAGTGCCAGGTAGGTTGCACACCAGAGATCAAGAAAACCCACAGCAAGGGGTGGTGGTGGTGGGTCATGGAAGGTGGCTCTGTCAGTGGATGCAGACATGGAAACCAGGCAGAGGTCTGGGAAAGGGTGGCCCATGCAGAAGGAACAGCAAGTGGTAAGGCCACAAGGCAGAAACAGGCTTGAGTGTTGGTACAACAAAAAGAAGCCGTGTCTGTAGCAGCATGGCCGTGGGAGTGAGGAAGGAGGCAAGAGTTGGGAGGCAGATAGCAGATGGGCAACCTCAGAGGCACGATGAGGTGATGGCCTTACTCTACATGCAATGGGAAGCCACTGGAAAAACATAAGCAGATCTCATTGCATCCGGGCGGATGTAATAGTAACTTGGCCAGGGTGGCAGCAGTGGAGATCGGGAAGTAGACAGAGAGAAGAGAATAGGTTTTAAGAGTAGAGCTAGCTGTCCACTGTTCCCATGCAGTGATGCTACTAGGGGAACAACACTGGCAAACCCCACAGGATTCCCTGCAAGGTGACCCAGCTGCTTGGGCTCTGTCCTGGTATGTCTCGTCCCCGTGCCTAGAGGCACTAGCATCATTTCAGGCCCTGTGCCCAAGAAGCTGCTAATGATGGCCAATACTGATGACTCCTACACCTCAGCCAGGGGCTGTCACCCTGGGCAACTTCACCAAGACCACCTTTGATGTCTTCTCTAAGAGATACATCTAGCTCACGTCCGACCTCTAGAAAGAGACCAGGCTCACCCAGTTACCCTACCAGGAATTCATGTACATCTCATGAAAATCCACACCAGAGTCTCTGTGCTAAAGGACCCAGGCTTCAGCCGTGACAACCACAAAAGTGGTTTTTATACAAGAAAAATAAAATGATTTAAAAAAAAAAAAAAAACACACACACACACACACACAAAAACCTCAGAGCTTGCTAGAGGGTAGAACTTGCTGTATGGATTGGGGGTGGAGGGAGTGAAAGGAATCATGAGTCCAAAAATGTGTAGCCATGGCTTTGAACACATGTCGGAGCACGCACACAGGCACACACCCACTGACCCTGTCCCCTCCTCACCATTGTCCAGAAGGTAGAGTACCAGCTCCTCATGCCCACACAAACAGGCATAGTATCTGAGGGAAGGAAGGAGGATGGGAAGCAGTTGTCAGCATTGAAGGCTCCTCTCAGTCTGCCCTGACCACCCAGCCCACCCCATTTCCAGCACTCACAAGGGGGTGCTGTCCCACTTGTCTCGGACATTCACCTCCACATCACGCTGCTCCAGCAGGTACCTGAACAATGAGGTCAGAGCCTGGTCATGACTAGGTTCATGGTCTGGGAAAGGAGACCATGGAACAGGGAAGGGGTAAGCATCCCTATTGGCTAGGTGAGGGCAGTGAGATAAGCAGACTAGAGTAGGAAACGGACAGCAGACCAGAGGTCATCAGGGAAAGGGTACTGAGGGTTGGGGATGCATAGGACAGACACTGAGAACATTCATAGTGTGGAGTGTACTGAGGGGTAGAGCTAGGCTCCAGAGTGAAGAGGCTGAGACTTTGGCCTGAAAGAGTTGGAAGCAAAAGAAGGGAGTGATGGGGCAGTGGGATGGCTCGGGGAGACTGGAGGGATTAGGGCCAGAAAGGGCAATGGGGGGAGGGGCGTATAGGGAGACAGAGGAGAGCTTGAAGAGTAGGCAGACTAGAAGGGGCAAGTCATAGGACATGGTAGTTGAAGGGATTTCAGCACTTATGGTGGTAAATCCCACTCTAAGTACGGCAACTGGAGAAACAGTCTAAGGGATGGTGAGAATTTCATCTTGGACATGGGCAGCCTGGGGGTGATATCCAGTGCTGACTGGACCTCAGAGGGCTCCTGAATGCTTTCCGTTTGGGGCGTCATCAACTCTTAAGGGGCATCTGAAGTCAGGGAAGACGCTGGGAAAGTGAAGAAGGGTAGAAAGAACTAAGACCAGCCCTAGGGAGGTGATCAGGACCAAGGAATGAGGAAGGAGTGGTGCACGGAAGTGAAGCACCAAAGAGGAGATGCCCAGATAGGAATTGGGCACCCCGCTCCCCCGACCTTCGTCCAGTCAACAGGGACTGCGCTCTAAGCGCCAGATTTGCGTTAGCTGCCCGTTGGGATATCTTAACCTTTTTCAATTGAACGTCAATTTAGGACTCTATGTGTTAAATGCACCCAGAAAAGGAGCTACATGTGAAGTTCCATCCAGCTCTGTCCCAGGGGCCTGCTAGTCCAGAGATACGACCCCTCCTCTTCCATTAGCGTTCCGAGCAGCAGTCCCCTCCTCCAGGAAGCCTTCCGTACCTCACCACCCCATCTCCTTCCCGCCTATGTACACTCCCACGGCCCCTGGGCATCTCGTAGTATAATTGTTTCTGAGGCCCCAGAGCCAAGTAGCAGAGGTGTCCCCCGGGTCCAGAGCCTTCGAGAGCTGCGATAAAGGCTGAGGCGTCCACCCTTCTCTGAGGCCAGCAGTGGACCAAGACCAAGTAGCGGGGTCGCATGAGCCCTGTGGACACCCAGCCCGTCCCAAGCCCGCCAGACCCAGTACTGTGGGCCCCTCACCGCACTCGGCCAACATCCCCCTTCCTGCAACTCGCAAAGAGGTCGCTGGTATCCATGACGCGGAATCTCGTAACCGCGACGCGTCCCGGCGAATGTAAACATGCACGCCGGTCCAGCCCCCAAACACGCCCCGTCTGTACTCTGCAGCGGCGCCTGGCGCCTGGAGGACCAACAGCCTGGACCCTAAGTACCGGCCTCGCACTCACGAAGCCCCACAGCCTGGCCCCTTTGGGCAGGGGAACACCGCGACCCCGGGTCACTGCTAGTTTAGGTCCAACTCGGCCCTTAAATTAGCCCTCTGTGCCCGCAGTTTTGCCCATTTATACCGCCCTACTTCCCACTCCCCCATCCCCCTAGTTTAAGGAGCTCTGGAAGCGTAGTGATTATGAGTTGGGCTGCTAATCTCAAGGTCAGCAGTTCAAAACTACCAGTTACTCTGCTCCCGTAAAGATTTACAGCCTCGGAAACCCTATCCAGGGTCGCAGACTCCACAGTATACACCTCCCACCCCCTACTTAGGACTCGGTCCTCCCCTTTTGGCTATCGTCCTGGGTCACATCCACTTCCTCTAGAACCACTCACCCCATCACAGACATTCCCCACCATCTCAGAAAGAAAGAGGCAGGAGGCAGGGAGGGCTCAGTGTAGTCTCCCAGATGGTTTAATGGGAGTCCCAGTGAGCAGGACGCACTGATCACCGGCACCCCGTGCTTGAAGCCGGTAGGGGGCGGGGCGCGAGGCAGTGGCCATGGAGCCAGGATTCAGCAGGGGACAGGAAGGCAGGGTCCTGTCCTCAGGCGAGCTGCCCTGACCAGGCCAGTGTCTGAGGCCCAGGCTCATATTCTCAGGGAACCGGGGTGGGAATGGGTAGGGGGACTGTGCGTAGACTGTTTTCAAAAGTTGATGGGCAGCGGAGAGAAGCCCCGGAGTTGAGGGCCAGACTGCAGGGTGGGCAACCAGGGTAGACCTCAAGGGGCAGGAGAGGCTCGAGGTCACTGCGGGGCTGCCCTTTCATTCCTGACACCAGCTGTGGGACAGGGCAGGTGCGAAGGGGCAGCTTGGTGCTGGGGTCAGGCTCAGGTCCGAGGCTTCGGCCCACTTTCCGCATTCGGGCCTGGGCGCCTCACAGGTGCGTGTCTTCCTCAAACACGTCTGAGTCCTCGGGGTCCCGCTTGCCCCCCATGAGCGTGCTCCAGCCCCCTGGGCCGTTGACGGCCCCGCCGCCGTTCAGGCTGGGCTGCTTCTCCTGCATCTCCGACTGGCTGTCGCTGGCCACGTCCAGCGTGGGATTGTCGTGGCAGCCGTTCTCAACGAAGCGCAGCTCCTCGCCATGCGACTGCGGGCAGAGGGGAGAGGGTTGCTGGCCCAGGGAGCTGGCAGGGCAGCCCTCTTGTCCCAGCCTCCCCAGGCCCAGGTGCCCATGGCCCAACTCCGCCCAAAATAAGTACATCCAAACCACGCCTTTACCCCTGCTCTACCATTTCCTAGCATGTGACCTTGAACGAGTCATTTAATTTTTTTCCCCTAGTCGATAAACCATACACAGCAATCCCCAACAGAGCCTCAACAGGCGGCAGTCCCCGTCTTCTGTGCCCATTGCTAATAATTGAACTGTTCTTCACCTTCCTGACGTTCTCTTTGTAACAGTCCATTTCATAAAGGAACAGCTGGGCACTCATGAGTTACAGCAGGGGCTCCTTCAAAAGTAGCCAAGATTCCACTCTGTCCTGGTAGAGCCCTGCTTCCACTCATTGCATGTACCTCCCTATAGAGTGGCAACTGTATGACCCGTTAAGACCGCATCATAGTCCTATGGTCAAGGACAGTTCCTAATTAAACCCCACACACACACCATGGGCATGCACACAGAGCCCAGGCCCTGCTGCCCACCAGCCCCAACTTACCACATGCTTAAGCTTGGGCAGCCGGCGCTGCCAGCAGTTGTACAACAGGCCGAGCACAATGATGATGACACAGATGGCACCGATGACCACCAGCACCACAAAGAGCGTCCCATAGTCACTGCGCACCTGGCTGGGCCGTGCCTGGCAACTGCTTGTTGTGGAATAGTTCTGGATGCCGATCTGAAGGGGTAGGAGGGGCCAGGCTCCTCAGTTGAGGCCCTGGGGTGCCATGGGTTCCCCAGACGGTTTTTTGAGGTTGGGGCTCAGGGACTAGGTCAAGCTTTGAGAAAGAGCAGGCCCACGGTGGCTGCAGACCTTGAAGCCTTCTCATAGGCTTAGGCAGTCCATGCTCAGCAGAGACTCTCCACCCAATCCCATCCCAGCAGCCTGAGGGTAGCTCCAAGCCCTTCTACCCTGCGCCCCCTCCCCCTCTGCCCGCCTACAGTTCTAACCTCGCTCACCTCCTCACCAGGTTTCTGTCCCAACCATAACCCAGCTGGTACAAGAGTCTGACCCTACCCCTCTACTGAGGCTGGCCCTCATGCTACGTATGGGTCACTAGATAAAGCAGACCGCTCCCCACCCCCCACCCCCCATCCCCACTAGTAACTTAAAAAGAGAAAATGAAGGGCACCTAGGAGCCACTCACTACCATCCTTCACCCACATACAACCACTGAATCGAGCCCTCGAAACAGCTTCGTAGACCCACATCCATCCCTGGCACCCCAGTAACACCCCCCACACACACACACATATGATCTTGATTAGGCTGTCCTCCAGGCACCTGCCTTCTCTGGCTCAGTGGCTAGGTTCCCACCAGCTCAGACAGACCCTCTCCCACAAAAGAGAGGTGAAGTGCTTCATCAGGGCAGGAGAGGTACCAGGGTGAGGGTGCTATCTATTGGCTCCTGATGCAGAGAGCCATGGACTTCTAAGGCCAGGCAGTCAGCATTTCCTTAGTCTCTGTGAACCACCCTGCATATTTCTAGTACTTTTAGTAACTTATTTTTACACGTCATTTATTAAGAGTAATTTTTTTCTTGCTAAATTTACCAACTAATATACTTCCAGAGATCTAGCACATGTTACAGACAAGTCGGTTTGAATTAAGTGCCCTCCCCTCAAGTGTGCCAGTAAGGTCAGAATACTCAGGGACTAGGGACTGGTGAAAAGAGGTAAAAGGGTCTGTCATAAAAGGGCAAGATGAGCTGAAGTATCCACGACCTCTGTGTGTCCCTGAGCCCAGAATTTCAGATCTGGAAAGATCTTCTGTGACTATCCAGTCAGTATCGCAGCACGGACCAGCCTGAATTTAAAGCTTCACTCTACCACTTATTAGTTGTGTGGTGGTGGTGGTGTGCCATGGACTCGGCTCTGACTCACAGTGACCCTGCATAGGGTTTCTGAGGCTGTAAGTCTTTACAGGAGCAGCAAGCCTCATCTTTCTCCTATGGAACGGCTGGTAGTTTCGAACTGCTGACCATGAGATTAGCAGCCAGACTGGTAACCACTACACTACCAGATCTTGGGCAAATCATCTAGCTTCTGGGCTTCAGTTCTCTTATCTTAAATGGGATACCCACAGTATCCAACAAGGGTTTATTTAACCCTCACAGCCCCACGGCATGGCAATGACTCAGTGAGAAACTGGTGCAGCTTGGCACACAGCGCTCAATATGCTTACAAAACCACAACTCTCTCACCCTGCATGTAGTAGATAAGGAAGCAGGGACCCAAGATTACACACAGCTCATCTTTGATGTCATTGCAGAGCCCTCAAGAAATTAGTGGAAGTATGGCGGGGACTGTAATCATGGCAATGAAATGATATACAATAGGATGAATGTAAAGCTAATGGTCTCCCATGTAAATTATCACATAATCCACAATAAAACATTTAAAAAAAGAAAGAAAGAAAGAAATTAGTGAAAGTAGTTTTGGGAGATAGTGGCTGTCCTCAGACCTTTATGGGATTTCTTCTTTATGGAACGTGGCATGAGGAGCAGAAAAACTTGAGGACAACTCAGCCCCTCCCCACAGGCCAGCAACTCTGCTCTTCCCTGGTTGTCCAGGCTACCTCCTCCACCCAGCCTCTCCAGGACCTGCCAGGTAGTCAGCAGAGCACTGCTTGGTCAGGGGCACCTCTCAAGATGGTAAGCTGGTTCCTGGACCTGAGCTCTTGTCCCGCACCCTGGACAGCCCGATAGAGAGTGCTTGCTTGATGGCTTATTTCCTTGTCTCCTATGTGCTCCTGGCTTCCTGTCACTTGTGGTTCCTTAGCACCATATCATGCTCATCCATCCCTACATGTCCCTGCACAATTCCTTTGGCCAAACATGGTGTTTCTCCTATTGTCTACCCAGAACATTCTCATTCAACTGTTAAAATCTCCTTCAGAAACTTCCTCCTCTTTGTGTTCTCTCCAACCACGGAGTTCTTACTACAGCCCGCCCTTCCTGCCCTTTTCTGCACCCAGCGCTACATACACTGTATGGCTCTCAGTTAAGAGTCCACATGCCTGTCTTCCCAGTGGCCCTGTGTCTTGGGAAGATCTTAATTAAATAAGAAGAATTTCAAGAACAAGAGTCTGTCTTTTCTTCCTTTGAACCATGTAATATAGGTAGCCACTTGTTCTCATGAAAGATCAACCTGCTCCCAGAGCACAGGGATGGGGGTGGGAGGGCATCAACAGTTAACTGGGTCCTGCAGTCTGGTTCCAAGTTGCTGGCTCTTACCTCCACCAGGCTCCTGCGGATGTCTCCCAACATGGAAAGGACATCTTGAGTGGGTACCACCCCTGGTTGGGGGGAGAGATACCATTATCAACATAGCCTTGGCCATGGAGTTCTGCCTCCCCAGGCTTCCAGCTCCCTATCAGACAAGTCCTGGCCCAAGCTTTGATAACCTCACTGGCCAGCTCCTACCTACACAGACTCTCTCTCATTTGCCTGAGTTCTACTGGACGGATTAATGAAATAATACTCAGGGAACACTTGTTATGAGGCAGGTATCATCCCACAACCCGATGAAGTTTCATTTTAGACATGCTCCTGCTCTCTTCTCTCCCCACCACACAGTGTGCAATGCCCATCTCATCTCATGACTGTGCTGAACCCCTAACTTCCTGTTGTTTCCCACCCTTCACTTCTTCTCCATAACCAGCTTTGTCAGAACTCCCTGAACCCTCAGATAGGAACTCCAGTTATTCATCCTGCTACCTTAGAAGTCCAAGTTCTGTCAGTACACTTTCCTGGGCTTCTAAGGTGACTGACACATGGTCTCAGGAAGTATCTATTGGTTCAGTGCTGCTTTATGCTCCCTTCTTGGGTCTTCTTTCCAGAGGATGGCACCCCTCCCTCCCACCTGCCTGCCCTCACTTACCCTGCTCGCCCACCAAGGTCATTAGCAGGTGCTGCTCCTTCTCGCTGGGTTTGCTCAGGGAGATGTGCCAATCCCCATGGTGGCCACTGCCATGGCGGGGCAGTACCTCCTCTACCAGGGCCAGGAGCTGCAGCCCTCGGTGCTGCCGGAACACCTCCTACAAGGTCAAAAAGACAACCCCCACCATCCTTAGGGAAGGAGAGAGACTCTACAGGCCCATCTACCTCAAGCCAAATGTTTGGGAAAGTAACCTCGCCATTCTCAGAGATTCTCTGGTAGCTTCAGGGACCACTAGAGACAATGTGAGCTTGGCCTTTGGCTGTGACTCGCCACTGGTGAGGGGAGAAAGAAAAGGTACAAGAACACGCATTCATTTGTTCACTGCAAGCAACCAGGAGCTCCTGTGTCCAGACTCCAGTCATGAGGAAGGAGTAGGGCCTGACAGAGACACTGATTACAGCTTAGCAGAGAAGATGGGTACACCCACATACAACAGCAACCCACGGAAATGAGGGTGTAGCTTTGTTTTTATTCTTAAGCACCATAAAATCAGCTCCCACTCCTAACAACCCTGACGGGGTTTCCAAGGACTGGCTGGTGGGTTTGAACTGCTGCCCTTGTGGTTAACATTCTATTGCTAAAGCACCACACCACGACTCCAATGATGTAGGGACTCCAAGTATGTAGATAATGAAACAGTATTCGAATAGCTCATTGTATATAAATGTTCAAGTGTGTGTTGCTGAGGATGAATATATATGGGGATCTGAGATAACTGACCAAAAGATACATATATCAATACAAGCACCAAAAATCAGGAGAAGTGGGAAATAGTTTAACCATTATCATCCCTTGTCTTCCACTGCACAGGTACTGTCCAAAATTGGTCAGTCAAGAAAGACATCTAAGTACCCTTAAAGTGATAGTGAAGAACTGAAATTACAAGTGGTTAAAAATGGCTATTACTTGGTAAAGTGAAGGGTCAGCGGGAAAGAGGAAGACCCCCAATGAGATGAGCTGGCACAGTGGCAGCAGCAATAGGCTCAAACATACCAACACCTGTGAGCATGGTGCAGAAGCTGGTCATGGTTGTTCTGTTGTTCATAAGGAGAGTCAGTAGGGACTCAACAGCACTTAACAACAATAACAATAGCTATACCTGGGAAATGGGGCTGGAAGTGGGAAGACAAATGTAAGGACACTTACTTTCATTTGACACTCCCTTCTGCTGTTTAGATGTTTTCAAATCATGTATGTAAGCAACTACATAACTTAAAAACAAAAAATAAGGGCCTGACACTGGCAGGAACCCAGGCTGGACAGTACACCAGGACCCAGCCTCTTGGCTTACAGGCCATCATTGTTCTGAATTCCGTCCACCTAGAAAAGACCCACTGCTGGCCCTGGGGCAGCTCCTAGCCCAGCTCTGCTCCAGCAGCCTGCCCCTCCAGTACACGTGAAATTGCTCATCTCCTGTTCTAACCTCCAAAGTTCCTACCCTAACACCACTCTCCCAGACACTTAGTTTTGTCTTGAATGCCCTGCTATGAAGCTGACAGCTGCCTGGGGGGGGGGGGGGGGGGGTGCGGGGGGCAGGTATTTGACCAGGCTACCCCCTTAGGATCCCTTGCTACTCATCTCTTTTCTGCTGGGTCTGGTCTGATCCCTTATTGCCAAGCTACAGGTGCCAGGGTGATTCAAGTGCTGGGGCTCTGTCTCTTGTTACTATGGCAAGTGTCAGGCATAGGTTCAAATCTCAGCACTCACTAGTTTAACAGGAAGTCAAATTTAGGTATAAATTTGGGAGAAGACTGGTATCTGGAGATAGCCACACAGTAGCTAGGAAAGCCCCAGTTTCTGAAATAGTTTTTACCTTCTTCATTGCTTGATGAACTCTCTCTCTCTCTCTCTCTCTCTCTCTCTCTCTCTCTCTCTCTCTCTGTGTGTGTGTGTGTGTGTGTGCAGACAGAGAGAGGGGATGCATGCCTGTACCTGTCTGAGCAAGGGTGGTTGCCTAGAACCCAGTAACGCTACTGCTTCCCAAAGCAACACCTCTGTACTCTTATCATGCGGGCATTTTCACAATTTCCTAGGCCAAGATGCCTGCCTGGCTTAGGCTCTTAGGATCACCATGTCAGATCTGGCAGGGGGGTCTGTATTACTATATGTTGCACAGATTTATTTTGTAGGTGGGGAAACTAAGTCACAGTGGTATGGTGGAAAAGTTCTGCCTTTAGAATCAAATCTAGGTTCAAATCCTGCCAATTACCAGCATTGTGACCTTGAGAAAAACACTACACCTCTCTGAGCCTCAATCTCCTTATCTGAAAATGGTCCTAACACCCTAAACTTAATGTGAGGATTTTAAAAAGTTCAATCAGTGGTCCTGGGGCAACTGGCTCTCCCAGTGGTAGAGAAAACATGGCCTAAGACTCACACTTATACCCATCATCACTATCAACCCCAGGTCTACAGCCTGTAAAAGCAAGCCAAGAGGGTAATCGCCATGACCTTAAAATAGGCAAGGGTTTCTATACAGGACCCAAAATACTAACCATAAAGGGAAAAAAAGTAATAAAATGGACTATATTATGATCGAGTTTTTTAAAATTAAGAACTTTTCATCAGAAGATACTATTAAAAGGATAAAAAGACAACCCACAAAGTGGCACAATACATAGGAGAGACTTCAAACACTTCATGGAAAAATGGAATTTTTCCACAAACTTTTTGAAGCACCTCTCATACATTGGATGAAAATTCCACATTTATAATATATAAATAATTCTTAGAAATCAGTAAAAACAAGAACAACAAAAAGCTAGATATTTGAACTGGCATTTCATAAAAGAAGATTCTATAAATGGCCAAAACACATATGAAAAGGTGCTTAACTTCAACAGTCATCAGGGAACTGAATAATAAAACCACAAAATGCTACCACTACACACCTTCCAGGTCAGTGAAGAAGAATACACAATGAACAAACGGATGCAGCACTGGAGGTGTTCACTAACCTATACCAAGAAATTTGGAAGAGAGCTCCCTGGCCAAACAATTGGAAGAGGATCCATATTTATGCCCATCCCAAAGAGAAGTGACCCACTAGAACGCGTAAGTCATTGAACAATATCATATTGTCACATGCAAATAAAATTTTGCTGAAGATAGTTACAAAATGGCTGCAACAATATATCCACAGGGAACTGTCAGAAAGTCAAGTCAGAATAAGAAGAGGATGTGGAAGCAGGGATACATTACTGACAGTATGATAGTCAGATGAATCTTGGCTAAAAGCAGAGAATATCAGAAAGATGTTTACCTGTGCTTTACTGACTATGCAAAAGCTTTCAACTGTGTGGATCATGACAAGCTGAAGATAACATTGTGAATAATGGATATTCCAGAGCACTTAACTGTGCTCATGAGGAACCTGTACATAGACCAAGAGGCAATTGCTCAAGCTGAACAAGGGGATACTGAATGATTGAAAATCACCAAAGGCATATACTTGTTCAATCTGTGTTCTAAGCAAATAATTTGAGAAACTGGATTATATGAAGAAAGACACGGCATCAAGATTGGAGGAAGACTCATTAGCAACCAGTGATATGCAGATAATACAACCGTGCATACTGAAAGCGAAGAGGACTTAAAATATTTATTGATGAAGATCAAAGACCAAAACTTTCAGTATAGATTATACCTCAAATTAAAAAAAACAAAAATCCTCATGACTGGACCAATAAATATCACCATGACAAATGGAGAAAAGATTAAAGTTGTCAAAGACTTTAATTTTGCTTGGATCCACTATCAACACTCATGAAAGCAGCAGTCAAGAAATCACACAACATATTGCATTAGGTGAATCTGCTGCACATAACCTCTGTAAAGTGTTCAAGAGCAAAGATGTCAGTTTGAGGACTAAGATACCACTGACCCAAGCCATGGTACTTTCAACAGCCTCAAATACATATAAAAGTTGGACAATGAATAGAGAAGACAGTATAAGAATTGATGTGTTGGAATTATGGTGTTGGAGAAGAATATTAAAAGTACCATGGACTGCCAGAAGAACAAACAAATCTGTGTCGAAAGAAGTACAGTCAGAATGCTCCTTAGAAGTTAAGATGGCAATATTTTGTCTCTCATACGTCAGACATTATTAGGAAAGACCATTTCCTGGAGAAGGACATCATGGTTGGTACAGTGGAAGGTCAGCAAAAAAGAGGAAGATCCTCAATGAGGTGAATTGGCATTGTGACAGCAGCAGTGGGCTCAAGTTTAACAACAATGGTGATGATAGTGCAGAACCGAGCAGTGTTTTGTTCTGCTGTGCAGAGTCACTATGAGTTGGAACTGACTCAGCAGCACCTAACAACAAAAACAACCAAAGATTAGCACACCTCACTATTTTGAACTATAAGCAACTGAACAAGGTAACAAAATGAAATATAATGAAGTTATTATTGTCAGACTAAAAAAAAAAAAAAAGTCTAAGGGTTAGCACAGACAAGGAACAACCAGAGCTCTCATATACTGCTGGTATCTGCAATGAGTAAAAGTTTGGAAAACTGTTGGGGAGTTAGCTATTAAAGCTGAATCTATGCATACACTGTAGGAGTCCTGGTGTGGTGCTGAGGATCAGCACTGGACTGTAAAGTCAGTTTGAACCACAAGGTCAGCGGTTCAAACTCACCAGCCACTCGTTGGAAACCCTACACAGGGTCTCTATGAGCCAGAACTGACTCAATGGCACTTAACAACAACAACAACATATGCATACACTATGGCTCAGCAATCCCACTCCTATGCATATGCTATTATTGTTGTTAAGTGCCATGGAGTTGGTTCCAACTCAGTAATTCTACTCTTGTTGTTGTTGTTGTTGTTAGGTGCCATCAAGTTGGTACTGACTCATAGCGACCCTATGCACAACAGAAGGAAACACTGCCTGTTCTGGGCCAACATCACAATTGTTGCCATGCTTGAGCTGACTGATGCTGCCACTTTGCCAATCCATCTCTCTGGGGGACTTGCTTTTTCTTTGACCCTCCAACTTTACCAAACACGTTATCCTTCTCCAGCAATTGGTCCCTCCTGACAATATGTCCGAAGTATGAGAGATGAAGTTTGGCTATCCTGGCCTC